GTTTCATAGGGGTTTGCAGAGCAAATGATAGGGATGCACTAGAGCTTCAGATTTCTGATTCTTAGATTATAGCCCCCAAAGGAACATAGAATTAGAATTAATGACTGACATTTGTAGAGCACTGCATGACTCTTACATATCAGCTAATGCACTTTCATTTACTTTTTGAGTTTACAATTCTAGAGCCAAGTACCAACTATCAATTCAGAGAAAATAAACCATATTTTTGACTGGCTTCTTTACCCTAAAATGTTAGGCTCTGAAAAAATAGATATACATTTTTTTTTCTTCACAAATTTCACTCCCTATCCTGCCTGGGCAAAAGTGGCTATTACTTTCTATGGACACAGAGATGTAGAAAAGAAACTGCTATTATCACAGTGTTAAAGGAAGCTTTATTCTGATACTTAAATAAAAAAGAAAAAATTGGATAATAGTGTATTTTAAACCAAGTGCTTGCCAGTCATTTCAAACGGTCCAATTTTATGTTTGCTTTATTTGGAAAAGAAAATGTCCTAAAGTTCAGGAAAAAAACTGTGTTTCTTCCCATCAACTAGAGTACTATTAATTAGTACCAGAAAAAGGAATTAAGAGAACAATTACGAAATTTTGATTCAAGCAGGTAGAAAAATAAGTATGATTTACTAACATTGTCTTGCAACCTTACTTTTTACCTTACTTATGTATTTCTGTCTTCAGGACCCTGAAAACCTGGAAGAAAAGCCAAACTCCATGGGTTACTCTCTGATTTTGTCAATCATAGTATCTTGTCCTTGATTCAGACAAAGAACAAATAGATCTAACTAAGAGAACCCGGTATCTTCTATGCATAATTCTGTTTTAATTTGTTATTCTGGCTTTGTAAAGATGAGGTTGAAAAGTGAAATCAGATAAATGCAGCAGGTGTTGAATCAGCAGCACAGTCCCCTTTGTTATCACAACGTGGCTCCCTTCTCCTGCACCTGTTACAGGTGAATTTAGTTGAAAATCTTGCTCCTCTCTGGAGTAGCAGGAAGTGGTGGATAGTGGCGATGTGTTCCCCTAGACAATACTCAACATACATACATTGCCTAATAAGGGCTATTAAGTCTTACTTTCTTGACTTTAAAGGCTCAAGGCCAAGGGCGGTATGTATGGCTCAAAGGAGGGGGTGCCAGCCTCATATGCTGGAGGTGGTGGGTTCAAATCCAGCCCAGGACAGAAAAACAAACAAACAAACAAAAAACTATGATTTTGGGTGGTGCCTGTGGCTCAGTGAGTAGGGCGCTAGCCCCATATACCGAGTGTGGTGGGTTCAAACCTGGCCTCGGCTCAACTGCAGCCAAAAAATAGCTGGGCATTGTGGTGGGTGCCTGTAGTCCCAGCTATTCAGGAGGCTGAGGCAAGAGAATCACCTAAGCCCAGGAGTTGGAGGTTGCTGTGAGCTGTGTGATGCCACAGCACTCTACCAAGGGCGACAAAGTGTGAGACTCTGTTTCTACAAAAAAAAAAAAAAGCTTGAGGCCGAGCCCTCTGTTGTGATTATGAACAAAATACATTGAAAAATAAGTTTATTTACTAAGTTATTATCTTGGTTGATACCATTTTCACTGTGACTATACATTTAAGGATAGACTGATTCAGAGTTCTAGATGATAGACAATACAGTAGGGTGATTATAATTGATAATAACATATTGTGTATTTCCAAATAACTAGGAGCGAATTGCAAATGTCTTATCACAAGAAATGGTAAATAAGCAAGCAAGTTAGGTGGTAGATGTAAGTAGCTTGATTTAACCACTCCAAATTATAAACCTATATCAAAACATCTGTTGTACTCCATAAATGTATACAACTATGATTTGTCAATTACAAATAATATTAATAAAAAAAGATAATTGATGGAAAACTGAAACATGCTTAATGAAAAGTAATGAAATTTATATTAATAAAGTTGATGTGCGGACTCTGAGACCTGCAGATTCCAGGGGTGTCACCGAGTCATGCACATGCTCCTCAACGTCAAGGAAGGAAATGAGAAATGACGACATCACATTGTGAATCTTACCAGCCTTACTAAAGCAAAAGCTTTTTCATTTTCACAAATAGTAAGCTCTATATGTTTTAAAGTTTGTAATTAAATATCCTGCAGTTTTCCCAGAAATATAGATTCTTTTGCCTTTTAAAAAATTAAGGCTAAAATACCAAATAATTCTGCCTAAGTGATAAGTGAAGCTTCTACTTTGGTGATGACTGACTGCACTGCCTTCGTACTGTAATTTACAATCACACGCTTGGAAAGGTTTTCCATTGTTTTTCAAAAATTTAAAACATATTTTTGCATTGAGTTAGTGGAGAAAATAAAAATTCAGCCTAAAATGATAACATGTAAAATTGAAGACTTTAATAACAACATTAATTCAATTGCATTGCTCCCAAAAGAACCCGATAGTTAAGCCACAAGTGTCAGTGGTGGTGTGATGTAGCAGCAACAATGCCATGGGCCTGGGGAGGTTCACTCTGAACACCTACCTTTTTATAATTTATTGCCTTTTTATAATTTTACCAGTAAATCCTGGAAATATTTTTTAAAAGACATTTAGAAACTTTTCCTGTTGTAATTTTATTCTTATATTTTTACAAATACATCTGAGTTATAAAAGAAATAACCCATCAGTCTGGTTTTGAAGCTGCTCTTGCAATATTATGATTTCACTTACCCATAATTACATTAATTATTCTACACTTAGTATTGCTCTTTCAAAGGTAAAATTATGTGGCTTTTTAATGGAATTTGAACAAATGTAGCATGTTAAGACCATAACATCTTTCCAGAAGTATTAAAATTGCACCCCTATTTACTGGTTCTAAGTGCATTTATAATATATAAAATGCTGCAATGCTTTTCTCAAATAACTTAATGTTTTCACATTATATTATAAAGCACTAATTTATAAATCTCACAAATGTGTCTGCACATTCACTTCTATTTCTCTAAATGTGTGTGCAGTATCTCTTTAGAGTTCTCAACTAGCTATTACTCAATACTTAGGCAAGCTAGAGAAGTTATAGTATGTTCAGGTGTGTTCCTGTCCTGGCTACATTGGGCTAAATAACTTTTAAAGTCCTTTAGGGAGGCAAATGCTGAGTCAAAAGATCCCTCCATTTAGTTGTTAGTCAACCAACATAAGATGAATTTCCTTAAGCTATCTATATGATATCAAATGATCTAATTTTCTTAATTCTTCATTTTTAAAGAAAAATATGAGAAGGTATTACAGATGCTTATGGTTAATATTTCAGTCTTCTGTTGACTGCTTTGGTATTATGTAGAACAAATATCTCAGTCATGTTCTTATTCTTTTCTAAGGTAGTGGACAAACTTGAAACAAAGAAATGCATAAAAAACATTTTACACCAGAGATTCTCTATGCTTAGAAGCAAAACCATTCTACACGTTACACGTTCCTTGATTGCAAAAACATATTGCCAAGCTAAGAAATGCAAAAGCTTCATACAAATTTGAATTTTCCTGCCAGAGTATCAGATATTTTAGCTTTAGTAGTAGGGAAAAAAAAGATTCTTCATACATATATCATCATTAAATTAAAAAGCAAAAGTGATATAACCTGCCTAGCAAGTAAGATGACAGTTTATATTCTAAAATATGTCACCCTTCAATTTGAGCCTAATATAATTTTCCCCCTGCCAGCAGGATACTATAAAACTGATGATTTTAAAAGTATGTCACATAAATCTAATCTTATATGTTTGTACTCCTTTTTACTTTTTTCTTATTGTCTCAAACTAGCAGGGGATTGTCAGCTCCTCACTTACTGTAAAACTGCAAGCATTTCAGCAACTTCTCTCTAGCAGTCTACCTTTGGTGACCATACAGTGCCCCGGAATCTTTGTATATTGGTGTCGACAAGTGAAGATCCTTACAGAGTGAAATGACAGGCTCTAGATGAAAGTCAAAACTGTTTTAAACAAAACTACATTCTTAACCAAAATTCACACTTAAGAAAATTTGAAGTTATTAAGAAAGATTTTTCTATGTCTTAATTATTTTATGTTTTCTTATATTTATGAGAATTCTTCAATATCAATACATTTTTCAAATGAGAAAACATATAAATAGTGTCACACAAAGAATGCCTTGAATCTACTGAGATTGTTTTTGGGTCTTTATAAATAAGACGATAAGCAATACTAAATAGTTAACCACAAATCTTCTCGAGTTATTTTCTCACCAACAAAATTGTGAAAAGAAGGGTCATTACCAATCTAACCACACAGTGAAAAATTTATTTATATTAAATTAGATCGGATTGTTTGCTAGAATAGTTATTTTCACTTCTAATTATAAACCATTAATACAAGGACACTTGAGAAGTTAATTTTGTGTCAATCTACATAGAGTACAGTTAAATAAGGAATCACAGAAATAAATGTTACAAAAATAAGTTTAAGTTGGAAGTGTGCTGAACATTAAGCAGCATAAATCTTAGCAATTAATCACATTTAGCTATAATCCTTAAAAAATAATAGCAAAGGAAACAGCACAGACAAACATCACTAACCATTCATTCCTAATCTCAAACTTTTTAGACTATTTCCATCAGTACTCTGTGATTGTGATTTTAGTTTGCTTGGGCTGGCATAATAGAATGCTAGAGATTGAGTGACTTGAACAACAAAATTAATTTTCTATCCGTTCTGGGCATGGCAAGTCCAAGATCAAAAAGTGTCAGGAGATTTGGCTTCCCCTAGGGCATCTCTCCCTGGCTTAGAGATGGCTTCCTTCCCACTATGTTCCCAATGGCATTTTTCTCTGTGTACTGTGTGCCTCGCCTTACAATGATACCCAGATTTTAGATTAGGGCCTGATTCTTCTGACCTCATTTAACCTTAATTACCTCTTCAAAAGACCTGTCTCCAAGTAGAATTCTACAGGGGGTTAGGACTTCAGCATTTAAATTTGGGGATATACTGTTTTTTTTTTTTTTTTTTTAAGTAAACCCTGCAAATGCAAGGCCTCAAAAAATTGGTTAAAGACTTTGAGTTGTTCCTCTCCTCAGAAATTTTAGTAAAAGGTGAAAATTAATATAATCTGAAGAGAAACCAGAGTATGGGATATGCTATTTTTAAAACTTAAATGTTTCTTTAAAATATTGTGGATTTTGAAGATCCTTGGAGGAGAGTCCTTTATGAGGTGCCGAAATGCAGATAATGGAGCAACTATAGATGCTCAGGGGTGTTCGTTTTGCGCTTTGTGTGGAGGAAAAGATCATAATCAGTTTTAAAGTACTTAAAATTTCTATCAGGCTTCCTTTTCATGCTACTGTGTCCTGTCAATTTCAGAACTAATATAAAACAGACATTCCCTGCTGTTTTGAAGACATTTAGTATGTGCATGACCACTGAAGAATTTACTTGTCATTCATGAAGTGCTCTTTACATCGTGCGAAATTTTAACATTTCTTAAAGGATTCATAACTATCAGTTCACTGATATTTTGTTGCCACTCTTGTAATAAATAATTGAGCATTAAATGACCATTAGGCAATAATTATATGACATCTTTGCTAACATTTATAAACAACCATAAATTATGTAATATTTGGGGGGGTACTTATTAAGTAATTTGAAATGCCAGTGCTCCCAGGTGATGGAAATAATTGCTAATATAATAGGTGAAAGTGAATTCACTTCAGCTTTTAAAAGAATAATATTGGAGGAATATTAAATATATAGGATAGACTTTTTTAAAAATAGTTATCGCTTGAAGGTTCATCTAGATTCAACCATAATCTTTATTCCCTAAAGGTTAAAGATGCAGAGAATTTCTGGGTAATCTTGTCCTTGTGTTCCTACCAGTGAGTCTATAAAATTCTTTTGTGCTTTTACCAAAACCTTCATCCTATTTATACTTCTTGTTGTAATGATATAATTTAATTAAATATTAGAGAGTAGTGAATCTTATTTTCTATGAACACTGAGTAGAATGTTTTGGAAAGATACCAAAAATGTGAATTGTTAAAGCTGCTGTTAAATTAATGTTGACACAACTTTATAAATTTAGAAAATTCATAAAAGTCTAGGGTTATCTGATCTTCTAATTTCATTGTTTTTCCATTGTTCTCAAAAGAAATGGAACATGAAAATAATATTCACCATTTCTAAGAGAAAGCAGAGTGTGATGGTAAGACAGAGATGTCAGAGTTAGACTCATGAAATAACATCTTATGTTTTATATTTTTAGAATTATTTAAATTATAATATTTTGGTCAAGATTTAATGAAACATTCTAATAATATTCTCATATTGCTTGAAATAGTAAGATGAAATATTGTACCAAAAAGATAGTGAGATTTGAATAAGATGTTGTACTGTAATATGAAATAGAAAGTAGCAAAAGATCAAGATTGTGTACGCGGGGTAGAAAAAATTAAGTCAAAAGTGCATAGTCCAGATGTAAAGTTGTATAGCAGTTATGAAAAACGATTACTAGAGAACAATAGACCTTAGCAGTCTGATGGAGCAGCACTTTCAATAGAAGGACTTTCTGCAATGTATGCTATGACTTATTATTTCATTTTGGGTTTGTGTGAATTAAATCCATAAATTTAATATAGACTTTATTAGAGCAGTGTGGTGGTTCAAGGTAGTTGCCAAAATAATTGAAAAGATCAAGTAAAGTTTTAGTAACAAAAAGAAAGTTTATTAATGACTTACACAGCAAGTTGGACCCCATCCTAGTAATGACTGCAAGGCTCTGGAGAGTTTTGGGTTTGTATACAACTTTGGGGAGAATCAGTTGCTTCTTGGGAGTCTCTCAGGGTCTTCATTAACTCTATTCTCAAAGAAACAAAACCAAAATAAAACAAAACAAAACTGCAAGGTCTTGAAAACGACCCACCTACTAGATCTTGATAACACACCTGCAAGGTCTTAATCAGACTCATTTCTGTAACAGACCAGGCCAACCTGATACAAAGTCATCCACACTGTTCATATGTAGCTAAACTGCCCAGAAGTTTCTCAACAATAGATAATTATATGTGAACACCAATAGAAATAATGATTGGATCAAAATTATTAATAGTAGATTATAAACATGTATGGCTGGACCTTAAAATCAACCTGGGTGCATGTAAGTAATCAATAACATTCTCTGCCACCCTACATCTAAATATTATAACCATGAATCTAATTATCTGTAAACAATATTTGGAAACAGTTTCATAGTTGATCTGATATGAAAAATATGAATGTATCATAATAATATATATAAAAACAAAATTTACAGCTGAGTGGCCTGAGAGATAAAAAATGTTTTCCCAATAACCATTTCAACAACTTTTTTTGGTTTTGTTTTGAGGAAGGGTCTCATTCTGTCACCTGGGCTATAAAGCACTGGGATCACCATAGCTCAGGGCAACTTCAAACTCTTGGGATCAAGCCATTCTGCTGCCTCAGCCTTCTGAAGAGCTGGGACTACTGGTGCATGTCACCACATCCAGATAATTATTTCAATTTTTTTGTAGAGATGGAGTCTCATTTGCTCAAGCTATATCAAACTCCTGACCTCAGGCAGTCTTCCCCCTTCAGTCTCCCAAAATGCAAGGAGGACAGGCATGAGCCACCGTGTCTGCCCTTAACTTTTTATCAAATAGCAAGTATATAACAAGAACTACAAGAACTCCTCTAAGGTAATGATTTCATGGGAATAATTATTTTTTGTTTGAATGTAATAAAAGCTAATGTAAATGTAAAATTCCAGTGGAAAATCAAAGCTCCTTGGACTTGGGACTAGCATCATCTTAGAAAACATGCTTTGAAGGTGGACTGGGTGCTACAGTTGATGCATAGCTCTCTACAGGGACTACTTCAAAGGTGACCATAGTGATATTCAGCAGTGAGGTATGTAGCACTTTTTCTAAGATGAGTTCACAACTGAATTGTCAATCTTTTACCTATATTCTAAATATGATTCTGTCTTCAGAATCTGACATAGGGAGAAGTGAAGAATCATTTGTTCAAGAGATATTCTACAAGTCCACTTCTGTGTATTAGTTCCGTTTTTATCTACTAAGTTGTCATCATCATTGATAGGACATGGAATAAGCAGAATTAGTGTGCAATTATGTTTGGATGACAATTTTCAGATATGTACTATAGCTGAAATTGAGGCTGTTTGTTCACAGCTTTTCTTAAAAGTCAACATTATTAATGTATAATTTGTATACATTTAAATTAATATTTTTAGTATAAAAGTCTATGTACTTTGATAAAAGCATATGATTATGTAACAATGACTACTATAAAGAAATAGGGCATTTGATGTCTATCACATCAGAAAGCTATTTCATGCTGAGATGCAGCTTTGCAGAAGATAAATAAATAAAGTTACTTTATACCCCTTTTAGCTATTTCCCTATAACTGATTATCTTATATATGTACTTTTGATTTGGCTTTTGCAGAATGCAAATGAATGAAATAATATATTGTGTATCCTTCCTTGGTTTTATAATTTTATTGTTTATATCAGTAAAATGATCCTTTTTATTTTTAAATACTATGTCATTACATCAATGTGGCACAGATTGATTATGTCTTCACCAGCTTAGGGACATTTGGGTTGATTCCAGTTCTTGGTGCTTATAAATATCAGATATAGGTAGTCACATGTAAGCTTTTGTGTGAACAGCTTTTATTTCTCTTTCTTGTGTGGACATGTTTTTATTCTTGTTATGAACCATATTGTTAGGACAGCAGTTATCGCCCAATTGATCTATAGTGTTGTGACAGTTAATTTCATATGCCAACTTGACTAGATTAAGGGATACCCAGATAGTTGGTAAATCACTGTATCTGGGTATGATTATAGGAATATTTCCCAAAGAGACTGGCCTTGGAATCAGTGGACTGAGTGGGGTAGATCTGCACTCTTCTACTGTAAATGGGCACTATCCAAATAGGCTGAAGTCTGAAGTCCTGGATAGAACAAAAAGGCAGAAGACAGGCAAATGCTCTCTTTCTTCTGGAGCTGGGATGCCATTTTCCTACTCCAGGACATCAGAATACTGGGTTTTCCCAACCTTGAACTGTAGCACTCATACCATCATCTCCCTGCTCCCATAGTTTTTAGAGTTTCAGCCTCTGGACCAGGGCTGGTCCAGACCAACCTACTGGCTTGTCTGTGTCTCCAGTTTTCAGAGAGTCCATCATGATGTGAATTCTGAGGTTCTCAGCTCCCATAACCACATGAGCCAATTCCCCTAGTAAATTTCCTCTCATATATCTGCATGTACATATATATGTATATATTCTATTGGTTCTGTTTTCTGGAGAACCATTCTAATACAAATGCCAATAAAATCCTGTTTAAAAACCCAGCAGACATTTTTGATGAAATTGACAATCTGATTTTAAAATGTACATAGAAGGCTAAAACATTCTTGAGGTAGAAGACCAAAAGTTGTATGTACAAGCACATATGTGTACACTTACACATGTGGTGTGTATAAGTTATTAAGTTTAAAGTTATTGCACTCATATTACCAAAAATCTCTGTTTGGTTATCTCTTTTTTCTTTTTCCTAGACAACTTGTCAATGATGGCAAAGTCAGTTTTTAACAAGATCTACTATAACATCTTGGGATGTGTAATAAAAGGATATTGAAAAATAATTTCATATAATACACATATAATGCAAATATATGTGTGATTTCAGTCAAATTCTTTGTTTTATTTACAATGGGAATTCTGTCAAAAATAATTGCTTTTCCAAAAGGAATCAAGAAATTATTTTCAACTAATCGTGCATAATTGCCTATAGCTTTGTCATGCCTGGCTTTTTTAAAAAGTATGTCTTGATTAGGTTTTTAGACAATCAGCATACTGTATAAATTATTAATTGAAGTAAAATATTAGATCAGATCATCACTATGAGATATATTGATATTAATAACTCCATTAAAATATGATGAATGTCAAGGCTTATTACTAATAATTACACATGAAAAGAAAGTACTGTTAATTTGCTGAACAGTTGGTAGCATGGGTACTTGGAGTTAATGAAAACAGGTTGTGAATTAAATCTAGATTAGCATGGTAGAGTTTTAAT